CGCGTTAAAATGATTGGAAAAAACTGTAATTGGTTTTCCATTATTTCTTATGGGAAAAATTAGATCAGAACTCGAACTTTTTAGGATTCGATCCGGAGTCCGGAAGGGATTAAGTTCGAGAACCGAGGTACCACTGTACACGTATATAGTGTCAATTGTGTATAGATTGTAAAATGAGAGTGAACTGTAAGGTTACCATAAGTCCAGAGTCAAATTTTTTGTTTTACAGGGTGGTTAGGGAAATCTCATTAATATTCATGAGAAGCGCTACCTGATTGGCCGGCGAACGTGAAACCTCATTAATACTCTGATCCATAGACACATCCTGTTTTTCCATCTCATCCAATATGGTAACCCTATGTATCCCTATGTACGACAGGAAAGGGCTCGATTTGCATATTACATGAGCATGGAACTCATTCGGTCTGTTTATTTATGGTTATTTGTGGGCGGCAACTGGGCAGGATCTTAGACTCATGCATTTACGACATTTAGTCCCGACATTTCCGAGGGGAAATGTGAATACGCCAGGTTTGATATATCCAAACTTTTTTGCGCATGTGCGTTTTTTTCCTTTTCATGCGTACTCATTTTTTCCCGCTAAAATTTATTTAAATTTATTAAGTCTGATAAATGACGCCCCTGGGGTTCAACACTGGAAAAATTCTTATAAGACGGTAAAAATGACTATAATTTAACGTCAGTCAAAGGTATGAGTTTGAGATGTGGGGGGGGGGGCAATTGAAATGCAGAGAGGGGTGATGGCCTGCGTTGAGGACCCTCTACCGTGATTTTTTTTTTTTATCCATTTTGTTCGTTAAAACCTGGACGACAAACTCAGCTAGCTGCCTTCTTGAAATACCTCGGGAAAGTTGCCAACACGGAGTCCACCACACCCAACGCATCCCAGCGAGTTTATGCTACAGTATGTCACACAGACAACCAATCATGTGGATTGATAAGGATCTGAGAATGTGGACAAGAATGTGACTTATGCTGGATGTATTAGTGTTTTAAAATGAGTGTTAAAAAATAATGATGATTTAAAGGCCTTAATCTTCACTGAGGGGGTGGGGTAGTCCATCTGAGGGGGTAATTGCCCCTTTGCCCCGCCCCTGGCGCCGGGCCGGAGATGAAGCATATGGAGATGAAAGCGCAGTGTCTAGGAGGGTCGTGGCCCAGCCCGCTGGCACCTCCGGGCAGTGGGGCGGCTCAGCTATGCCAGGCAGCTGCTGCTGGATACCAGCTAAGCAGATCTCCCCGCTTTACGTAAGTGACCAGGTTCTGCTTGTACCCGAACAAGCAAGACGCACTATTATGTGTGTGTGTGTGCGTGTGTGTGAGTATGTGTGTGTGTGCGTGTGTGTGAGTATGTGTGTGTGTTAGCCTCTGTCTGCGTCTTTGGTTATGTGTGTGAGCATGTACCTGTTTGTCTGTCTGTTTATTTGTGTGTGTTTGTGTGTCTGTGTGTGTCTGTGTGTGTGTCTATCTGTCTGTATGTGTGTGTGCGTCTGTGTGTGTGTGTGTGTACCTGTTTGTCTGTCTGAGTTTATTTGTGTGTGTCTGTGTGTGTCTGTGTGTGTGTCTATCTGTCTGTATGTGTGTGTGCGTCTGTGTGTGTACCTGTTTGTCTGTCTGTGTTTATTTGTGTGTGTTTGTGTGTCTGTGTGTGTCTATCTGACTGTATGTGTGTGTGCGTCTGTGTGTGTGTCTATCTGTCTGTATGTGTGTGTGCGTCTGATACAGAAGAGCGACTCTATGTGGTCCAGTTTGGCTGGCCAGTAGCCAATCAGCTTCAAACCCGTGAGCCTTCACTCACATGGGACATGCAGCTGTGTTAGTGATGTTAATGTCGGCTAACATGGTGCCACGCTGGAATCGCTCTCTGGGCTCTCTGACCTGCTTATCCCTGCTCACACCTTCACCACGACGGACTGGGCCAGGTCAGATCGCGCTGCAGCAGCGGAGCTGACCTCAGTCCTGTTTGCGAACCTCAATCCATAGTCATCCCGGTCTGGGGAAAGGCCCCCAATTCTCCAACGCGGAGGACTGATCCCAGACCATTGACAGAGAGCGGAACAGGAGTGGTCTGGAATGCAGCGCAGGTACGACCTAAAGACGCCAGCCAGCAGCCCTTTTCCCAGCCGGAGGCATCGCTCGGGGAGCTGCCCAAACGGGCCTGACAGGATAGTACTGTCTGAAGCGAGAAGGGCTGGTCACATGACCACATCATGCTGCTATTGTGAGGGAGTCACAGTGCCTGTGTCACTGTTGTAGGGAGTCATGGTGCCTGTGACACTAATGGAGAGAGTCACAGTGCCTGTGTCACTGATAGAGGGAGTCACTGTGCCTCTTTCACTAACTGAGGGACTCATAGTGCCTGTGTCACTAACGGAGGGAGTCATTGTGCCTCTGTCACTAACTGAGGGAGTCCCTGGACCTGTGACATTTACAGAATGTTTCCCAGTGCCTGTCTCTAATACCGGGAGTCACAGTATCTGTGTCACTAATGGAGGGAGTCACTGAGCCTATGTGACTAATACAGAAAAGCACATTCTTATAAATGTGGTATTCCGGAGGAATGTCCTCACAGTAAACAGCAGGCTGTGAACCAGCAACCTCCTGGCCTCCCTCATCCCCAGCCACCACCCACCATCCCAGCAGGCCTCCGACAGCAGCTTGCGGCTAGAACCCACCAAGCCTGGCGACCGACAGCAGGCTGGCTGGTACAGCTCAGTCTGAAAGTTTTTATAACCCATGTGCCTTAAATAGACGCTACAGTTTTGGGTCAGTCCCCAAAAGCCCTCTTTTTTCCTCCTTCCACAACGGAACAGTCCCTCTTTCGCTGTTGTATCTGGGACGGGGGGGGGCGGAGGGGTGTAAGGAGACGATGCTTTGCTGGGGCAGTGGGGGGAGGGGGCTACATGTTCCATCCCTGTAGGGAGTCATTGTACCCCCACCATCTCTAACAACCAGTGCTGTGCAAATGGAGCTCGCCCAGCAATGACGCACCCACCTCCGCAGCAGCTATGGAATCGAGGCCAACCGCGTTATGCAGCTGCCCCACCAACGGGTCTGTCCAGGGGGACCTTCAAGAGCCTCACGGCTGAGAATCCAGCACAGGAAGTTATTTTTACTGAAGTGATCCAGGTTGAGTGCCTTCCTCAGCCAGCAGTGGCTGACATATTTACAAACGCATGAGCAAACTGTGCCTGCATCTGTGCATGCAGACCACACTGAAACAGCTACAGACCATCCGGAGACAGCTATAGACTATTCTAAGACAGGCGCAGCCCATCCTGAGACAGCTACAGACTATTTCAAGATGGCTGTAAATCACCCCAAGACAGGTGCAGACCATCTGGCATTTGATACAGACCATCCCAAGACAGCTACACTATCCTGAAAGAGGTACACACCATACAAACAGCCCAAAACAGCTACAGACCACCCTGAGACAAGTACAGACCACCCTGAGACAAGTGCAGATCATCCTACATTTGATACCAACCATCCTGAGACAGCTATGCTACCCTGAGACAGGTGCAGACCATCCTGACACAGAAACAGACCATCCTGAGACAGATACAGATCATCCTGAGTTTCATACAGACCATCCTGAGACAGCTACAGACTATCCTAAGACAGCTGCGTAGGTTCAATAGATGACTTCATCCTGTTATCACCAAGGATTAAACATTAACTTGTACACTCAGTGGTCATTCCAATCAGGCACAGCTAGCCTGTTACAGGTAGGACCCACTATTTTAACCAGCATTGTGACATCATTCCTGCAGATCAGATTGTATTGTGCTAGCATTGTGACATCATTCCTGCAGATCAGATTGTATTGTGCTAGCATTGTAACATCCTTCCTGCAGATCAGACTGTATTGTGTAAAGCATTGTCACATCAGTCCTATAGATCAGACTCCATTGTGTTCGCACTGTGGCATCATTCCTGCAGATCACACTATATTGTACTAGCATTGTGACATCATTCTTGTGGGTCAGATTGTATCATTCTAACATTGTGGCATCATTCCTATAGGCCAGACTGTACTGTGCTCTCATTGTTAATATCACAGAAGAAGCTGGTGAATGACAGGTGAATGAATGAATGAGTAGAATCTTCCAGTGTGCATTTAACCTGTCCCATCCCAGCCCATCCAGGCCACATGGATCCCAACTGGTCTCAACCAGTTATCACTCCACAACAAGGTAAAGAGGCTACAATTATCTATAACAATAACAATTATCCAGCACAGGGACATGCTGGGACCCGACTCTGTCCCGGAGACAAAACCTACTATCACGTTTTCCCCCTAAAACCTGTTTTTGCTCAGCCTTCCTCAGTGCAGCACGAATTAACCCATCTTGTGCAAAACATATAACACAACTTGCACCTTAGACGTCCGTGATTCACAGTAAGTGAGTGCCCCCCCCCCCCCCCCATCACAGAGACAGTGGGCTGTCCCGTCACATCCTCAGCCCTGGTATCACCATGCCGAGCTGAGAGACGGGACCTGGTCGACCTCTTCTGCTTGTCATCAACAATGTGGCTGCAGGCCACTAAAAATTTGACACAAAGGTGGGCGGAGCTTCTGCACTCACTGTCTGGGAGCAAAAGTCACCCCCAGAAATTCTGACTCTCCCCCTCCCCCCCCGACCCATTCTGACTAGTTCAAAGTTCCCTCCACAGGTAACATCTGTACGAGTGATTCTAGGACAGAGGAGAGATCTGCAGCACATTTATGGACAGAGGAGCTCAGGGGAGTTGGAGACGAGCTGTATGGAGGTACACTGCTCCTGCCCCCCCCCCCCCACCACGATTGACAACCTCTGCCCATCAGGGGACCCCCAATGCCCACCCTGTGATGGGACTCTGGAAATGCCGCTGGTGTGATGGGCTCCTCAAGGTGGTTCCTCCCTTATACAGCCGCACCATGAGTTACAGGAGAGTTCTGCCCCCCCCCATGGGGAGCTGGGAGGTTCGCTTACCTCTAAGACTTCCCGCCGCAGCCCCTCGCTGCTCCTCAGCCAACCGCGGCTCAGCTCCGCCAACTCCAGGATGGGCTGCACCTTCAGCCGCACCGTCTCACCAGACTGCCGGATCATCTCCACGATCTCGTCCCGATTCCGGCCCTCCACATTGAGCCCGTTCACCTCCACCAACCGGTCGCCGGGCACCAGGCCCAGCTCCAGCCCCAGGCCCGGGCCCGGGCCCAGCCCCAGACCTAAGTCTTTGGCGCCAGAGCCGGGCTCGGCGAAGTGGACCACGCGTTTGCAGACGGCACCGTCGGCAGCACGGCGCTCCAGCATGGCGGTGCGGCGCAGTGAGAAGCCGAAGTCGCCGGTGTCGCGCCTCCGAATCTCCAGCTCCCGAGGATCCGGCAGAACTGGGGGCACCACAGCGGGAAGGCGCAGGTCCGCCGCAAACGTCCGCTCCACCAGCTCCGGGACCTTCACTGGGCCCAGGCCGGGTTCAGGGTCTCCGGGCTTATGGGGCATGTCAGAGGTCTGTGGGGATGGGGAGGGCATGGCGCCCTCCAGTGGCCTGTCCTCACTGCCCTTTTGGGAGAAGGACAGGCGCTTCATGAGGTGACCCACCTGTGAGCTCTGCCTGGCCAGAGACTTGGCGGCACGCTCACGCACTGAGCTGCGCCGGGCCCCTATGCCGCCCTTTGCCTCCTCGCCGGGGCCTGCCGTGTCTGCTGCTGGGTCCCCGGTCTCTGTGGTCCCCGGCCGGACAGGCATGGGGCCTGAGATCTCAATCCTCCCCTTCTGCTCCTTCTTGGCCCCACGAGGGAGGTGGAAGAAACCCCTCCTCACGCTCATCTCCTCCAGGCTCCTCAGCTCCGCCACCGACATGCGCTCTTTCTTCTCCCTCTTCTCCCTCTTCTCCTTCTTCCCAGCATCCTTGTCTTTGTCCTTCTTGATCAGGTGGAACATCCTGGAAGAGGCCTGATCCTGGCCGTCACATGGAGGCTACACCCCCATGCGGGGTGAGAACCAGGCACCAGACGTGAGGCGGTGCCAGAACCTGCAGATCCAGCTCTCCTGAGAAGAGAAGGATGGGCAGGAAGTGAGTTTCCCCCTCTTTGGATGAACCAAAGCCTATTGTGTCAAATCCTTTGACATCACATCAGCGACAGCCAATGCTCTGTGACGAGCAGCGAACTCTGACCTTTATCGCCTCAAGATCGAAGTTAACGCTGCTCTTAATGAATGCACCACAGCAATTAGAAGAATCTCAAAGGAAAACAGCGGAAAGACAGGCATCCTTATCAGGAATGCGGGGCATCAGGTCTGCCTCTCCGGACATGACTCAGCGCTCAAAAACCACTCCTAATCTGGCCAGCTGAACCCTCTCCTTGTCGGCTCACATCTCTGTCTCAACTATTATTTGCACGGCGCTGTCACACATTGTCTTTTACAGCCCTGCAGACTCCTGCCTCCACCCACCCTCTGACCTACGGAACGTCACACAGTAAGACATATGGGACTCCCACCATTAGCAAACAGACTCGTAACACTGGAGATATTGTATGAACTGCGAGATTTACCCCCCCAGCCGATTAGGCTGAGAGGTCACGTGGCTGAAATTTCAATCAGCGGCCGGGTAGCAGAGCTGCAGAGAGTCAGACGGTGACTCTGTAGGGGATGCGTTGCCCCCCCGAAAGCGAGACCTGCCGAGCAGGTGCACCGCTCCGTCCTCTGTCGTCCTCGTGTATGCAGTCAGGACCGGTCAGAAGCGTAATTGTATTCCACATGCATGTAAGATCCGGCGAGTCCCTGTCTGGCTTTCTCATACTCCGATGCGTATTTTCAAGCCTTCTTCTCACACTTTTTTCCCATCCCAAATGCTCTTTCACCGTTCCCTCCCCGTCACGCAATAAGAACGCCAGGGATTTCGTCCAAGTAACAAACCTGATTGAACTAGACCATTAACCCTTATTATAAAGCATTATTAATAATCACGTCATGAACGGACAGTGAGTCACAGTGCGTTCAGGATCAGCGTTACAAAAATATAATCAAAGTTTAAAATGCACACCAGTACAGCATACAGAAGTAGATGCAGGTTATGAAATGAGTTTCCTTTCATTGATTACCGGACGCTCTAGACACTAGACACTCTAGCAATTACTGACATTAAATGCTTAAATGGTGACACATCATTTGGGGCTAGTTCGCTATCCCGACCTCATCGGTGTAAATGCGATTCAACCCCAAGTTCAACCACCCTTCAACCCTGCAGAATCCAGCATAGTGCATTGCTTCCTTATAAATATAAATCCCCGTGAATGGCTGAGATCTACTCACCGTTTCCCGGTGCGCCGTACGCCTTTGGAGGTGCGACGTCTCTGCAGCTCCCGGAGCCCGGTGCCGTTTCGGAGCGCAATAAGGCACCTTCGCCGGGATGAGCCGCAAGGCGCTGCGCAGCCGCCACCGCCTCCCCCCCTCCCTCCTCCGCAGGTCCCACAAGCAAAGTCGGTCCTAAGACGCCCCCAGCTGGCAACTTTGCGGAACCGCAGCCCGACAAACGGCCATCACCCACGAACTCCATGACTTCGCCCTACTCATCTACCTCCCAAAATATTAAATTTATTCAGTGGTGATGATATACGTGTGGTCAAAATGGTGGCTCCTTTATATTTGTGAAATGGGTTACTTTAAAAAAAATATGTCTTGATGTTCGTCATAATCCAGTTCTTTAGGCGTGTGTATAGAAATTCGATATGTTGCGTGCCCTATAAGAATATAAAAATGCACTGTATTCCGGTGATTCGCTTCTCAAGCATTTCCTAAAATGGCAGATACAGCAAAACCTTGGACAGTCCTGACACAGCAGGTAGCGGCCCCCAGAGTCCCTAGAATCACCTCTGGTCGTAAAATGTTTTGGTTGCTAAATGTCTGATGTTATCAGTCGGTCTGCTTTGCACTGAATACCGGGCACCACCCATAAGAGACTGAAAGCAGAGTAGCAATGAAAACATGGTGGGGGAAACTTACACTGGGTGGCGCTGTACACAAAGCATGCGGGTCTGTCCAGGAAGAAGCATCTCCCAAACCTCCTGGACAGATCTAGCTGCCCGTTTCCCTTCCTAGGACCCCCCTGGGTATACAACACCAACATATGACACTATGGAGGCCAACATGAAGACTCAAAACCAAGATATTCCCTCAGCCCAGGACAGCTTGGCACTCCCCAGCACCATCAGAAGGGTGCAGAAGTCCTACCTCATCACAAGGTGCCTAAGGATGGACCAAGAGGCTGTTTTTCTAAGTCAAAGTAAACCTGTCTAGAACACTGTCGGATAATAAAGGGGGATGTGATGTAAGGGAAGTAACCCTGAACTGTCAATCGCTGTATCCTATTGGTTAATTCTTGACTATCCAGTGAGTTACGGAATGCAGTGATTGGCTGGGAGCGTTAAAGCCACCCATAATCCCACCATGCATCTACAAACCTAGACTTCCTATCAATGTTTCCTGTGGATGAAGAGGTTTGGCATCGGGGCACCGTGCAGACATCAGACCATTGTTGTACATGGTTTTTAAATTATTGTTTAGTGATGCCATGTTCCATCTCTGTCTATGGAGGTCAACAAACACTTGATGTTCGATTAGATGATTGACTGATTGGTCGGATAGATGTTTTTGGCAGCAAAGATTTTGGCGTGGCGGGCTGTCGTGGAAAAATGTTGCCAAGCGGAAACACTGCTCCCCACCGTTCATAACTGAGATGTAGATTGTTTATGAGGCTAATAAAAGTTGTTGTTATTGTAGTTACAATTGTTGTTGTTACAATATTTCTGTGAATTGCTGTTATATGTTATTTTGTCATTGACGTGAATTGTTTGCCACTTGTATTGATGCAAACCTTCGTGCACTTAACCCCCGTCTGACCCTATGTTGTGGCCCCCAAGCTTGCTTACAGTGGGGGGTCCCCCAGGAGCATGCTGGGAAACACTGGTCTATTCCATATGCTGATGGTCTACATTAGTGTTTCCTCTCAGCTCCCAGTGCACCTGTACCAGGTATTCAGTGTTCCTGATTGACTGGGAGCTGGGAGGGAGCAAAAACATGGACTGGCCGTGGGTTCCCCAAGGACTGGGTTGGGAAACACCGGTCTACATAAAGCTCAGCTGTACCACACACCCTCAAAATAAAGAACAGGACCGCTGCTGTCAGAAATGTGACAGTTTGAGTCACTAATATGTCAAGTGCCATGTAACCACATATTATTAGTAGCGTGAAACATCAGCTTTCCCAGTGAGTATGCTGTTAACCAATTAATTCTAAACCATTCAATCAAAAAAAGATGACTAGCTATTTAATCTTCCAAAGTAGTTTTAAAACAGTTAAGTACCCTAAAGGCATTTTCATCTGTTTATATTTTCATAAATGTATCTTCCTTTCCTGTATTTTTCAGTAAAAATAGTTTACCCTTTTCCCAACATTAATTGATGCTGTCTAATATTTGATGTTTACATTATAAAATGTGACTCTGGCATATGAACTGCAGGGCTGCCAACTTTGGTCAGCTGGCTGGATTGAGATTTTCAATTTTAGACAAGTCTGCACACACATTTATATGTATATAACAGTTTTATTGCCTTGTAAATAGTCTGTAGGGTTTTCAAACTACCCCAACGCTTTTGATGTAGCTAATTTTAGGTTTATAATGGAATAATAAAGATTGGCTGTAAGATTTCTTGCACGAGCGTGACAGTCTGAAAGCGTGAGTGTCACGCCAGATGGGTGAGAATTGGCAGCCCTGCAAATGATGTATAGTATCTTGGGTGTTGTGATGTAGTTGTTTTGTGAAGATATTTGAGTGTGTAGGCCCTGAGTCACACATTACACTTTGCTAGCATGGCAAAGGACAATCTGTGTACAGCAAATGAACACACTGACTGATACAAAAGATTAAAGTATAGGCTTTACTGAATGTTTTGTAGGTGTGACTAGGAGTTATATTTCAATCATATTTCCTTATCAAAGAAAGCAAAATGTCAGTCGTGAGTATTTAGTGAAGAAAAAATACAGTTCACACAGGTTTAAATGTTATAACATTTGCACATTCTTTATTTGCAATACACTGCAAACACTCACAAAAGCAGTTGTATACGCAATTTGTATATTTATTGTATTGTAAATGTCATATGTTTATTTATCGTATCTGTGCGCTGTGTACTTGTACAAGGATCTATTGACAATAAAATATTCTCCAGTCTTGAAAAAGGTATCCCCAACTGACTCACTGATAACGCTCCGAGTACCCTCAACAGTTTGTCGGGCTAGCTACAACTTTTCTACGCATTAAGGCGTTTTATGAACATACCGAACAGGAATACGATCAGTCTCCGAGGATTTAGTATCTTACATAACCGTTGGTGTTAAGTTGTTTCGGTTTTCACTTTGATCTGCCAATCATTTACTGTGGTATATGCAGTAAATAATGTACGTCGCTTTATTTAGCAGAAATCACCGCTTTTCCAATTAACCCAGTTCGGTCAGGAACCAGTTAATGTAATAATAATGTATAATTCTCATTTTTAAACATACTCTAATAACTGTATTTATTTAATTTATTTTAAGCAGTTAAGTATGCGCAATCACTGGCTTGAAATAGAAATGTTATAATGTTTCATATGTCTGGATGCGAATAATCAGCAGAAATTATGAACAAATAATTATTATTATAAAATGCATAACAAGATATACCGCTGTACACTAATTCTGCCTGGCTATAACTATTTAGATATTCAGAAGAGAAATTTTATCGGTTAGGCTTAAATGACTGATTTGCCAGTGCACTCAGTGAGGTTTATTTCCGAGTTGTGGTGTTAACCACACATTACATCAAAGGCACACAGTGTGCATATGGAAACATATGCACCGCGCCGGCCCACCAAAGAGACCTTAGCCTTGGCGAATACAATAATATAAACTCTGCCATTTTTCAAATGCCCCCTGCTGGACTAGGAAAATGGAGGGAGACAGGGGAGTATAAAAAAAAACTGGAACTTTAAGGTGCACCCCTCACGTAATATATTACAAAAATCAAAAACATTGGGTGTGACACATTTTATATAAATGAAAAGACATTTCATATGTGAAAATATTAGAAAAATTGTCGTGTCTGTGGGGTGTTCTTGTCAACCACCCGCCCCCATATTCCAGCCGAAGTGGTCCGGCCCAGAGGTTACCGGAAGTTGTAGCGGCTGCCATGTTTAGCTGCTTTGTTGTAGATTTCTTGTAGGTTTCCTGCAGATTTTTAAGTGTTGCAATGGAGTCGAGCTGGAGTACATTTTTTTTACAGGTAAGATCTCCGCCGCGAGCCGAACATGGGACCTCTTTAGATGAAGCTTAACTCGGAAGCGGGGAAGTGGACGGTGCGGATGACTTTTTTTAGAAGGTTTACTTTAGGTACAGCTAGCCAGGCAAAACAATGGCAGCGCGCTGGCTAGGCTATGCTAAGCTAGGCTAGGCTAACGGCGGAGCGAAGCCGCGGGCGTCCAGCTGCGAGGCAGGGCGCGACGCGGCAGTTTTCGCCCCATGGTCTGGTGTGCGCGTCGAATTTATAGCGGGTAAAGTGTTCGGTGTACGAAATGAGAGCTGAGGGCGAAGTTGAGGCGTTTTATTTGGAGGAGGCCGGTCGGTGTTTCTGTACGGCGGCTGGAGATGCCGCTGGGCGCCAACGGCGCCGCCAGTCCCGTGTTAGTGCGCGCGCGGCGTTAGTGGGGGCTACTAACTCCTGTTTTCCCGGTTTAATGTGGCTCGTGAGCTCGGGGTTGCTCCTGTTTCTCGGCTACACAGGACCGCTTATCGTGTTTTAAATGATTTTTATCATCATTACGGCTGCATAAAAGGCGCTCCCCCGCTCCCGCTCACCCCCCGCGGTGATCAGTGTAGGGATGCGGATGGAGAGCAGCCCACGCCGCCGGAGTCTGCAGTGCCGCCGTGGTCCCTTTCTCCTATCCTTTCCCCCCATTCTCTCTTTTTTTTTTCCCATCGCCGTCGTTCAAATGGGCCCCAAAACCGCGGTCTTTGTGGGGGAGGAATGTGAAGTATGCGTGTGAAAACAGCGCGGTCCATTGGGGGGGAGGATGGCCGGCGGCCCGCCGAGAGCCCCCGGCTCACTTTTAACCGTAAAATCCGTAAAAAAAAAAAAAAAAACCAAAAACGTAAGTGTGTTAAAGGTGCGGATCAAGGGCTTCAAACCCCCCACGGGCCGCGGAACCAGGGCTTCAAACCCCCCACGACCCGCTGATCCGCGACTTCCTGCACCCATTTTGGCCACTTTTCTGTAAAAGGCACCTTTTCCTCCGAGTGGCTTATCTCCGGAATCTTAAGCGTGTTGCAGATAACCGGGTGATCTGGGGGCTTTTTGTTTCTGGGTTTCACCCTGTGTCATGGGGTTTTTTCTTAGCCTGGGCCGTTGATGGATGGATGAACTGTTATTTCTGTAAGTCAAATTAACATTCATTTCTTTGCATTCATTTCTATTTATCTTTAATGCAGTTCTTTCCAAAAAATGCAGAGGGTGGTGGGGGAGATTTGTGTGTTCCTCCCACCTGACTCATTTCTTTGTGAGGGTTTTTTTTTGGTCCTTATTGGGCTCTGGGTGCTGGACTGAGATCTACCTGCCTGCCCGGGTGGGGGTGACTCACACAGGGTTGCTGGTATCCAAGTTGGCGGATTGAGGTGCATTATGGCTGCAAAGCACCAGAGTCCCGCTGCTTCCCAGCTCCCCTAAGTAACCCGCCACCCTGCGGCGCTATTGACCAGGCTGGGGAATTAACATTCAAGCCGGAACCATAAAATCCCCCCCCCAGGCAAAATGGCAGTGGTGCAGCCGCCTGGTTCATTGTCTGAATCAGATACGGCTTATCGGCCAGGTGTTAGAATCAGTAGAGCCTTAATATTTCTCTCTGAGTGTGGGGTGGGGGGGCATGTATTGTGTATTGTGGGTATTTAGGTGGAAATCTGGAAGATCCATAACTTTGGGTGAAATGCAGTGGACTACTTTCTAAACTCTATTTAAAGCTACCCAGCAGTGAATATTTCCTTGATTTTAAACAGTCTGAACTTGTCCGCTTTGTCGCAGAAATGCACCTTTCTGATATGTCTGCTGATAAATTAACTTGTATGTTATTGTGCTGAAATGCATTGGTTTAGGAGCTTTAAAATGCTGGGTTAGACTGTTATCTCCTGTTTTTGTTTTGTACCACACATTATACATGGTTCAGATGCTCATCCTTGGGGGTACTGTCCTTTGGGGGTCCCCCTCTTTTATCCTCTCATCTTTGAAGTCTTTGTTGCCACGGTGACAGGTACATGCCACATGCCTGTAGTAGATGCCTTGTTCTCATGCGGTGAACTCCTGAGTTAGCAGTCGTGGGCGTGGCTGACTGAGGGTGTGTTAGGATGCTTGAATCGAGGGTGTGACTGCTTCCTTTGGGAGGAACACTGATGGTCGTGTGTGGTGTGTCTGAGAGTGAAGTGATGTGGCCTGACCCCCATCTGTAAGCTGAGGCACTGGTGGGATTCGGGTGTCGGTCAGGGGGTGAAGCAGTTCATTCAGGCCACACATGAGGACTTGTTGGTTGCCATAGAAACTGTCCTGTATCAGGCAGAATAGATAGGAGTCTGACTGAATCGGATCGGAGTCCGGCTGACATGGCAGCTTGTGTAGAGTCTGGTCCCTCTAGCTCTTGAGAGGTTTGCTTATACTTTAAATTTTTAAAATACTTTGCCATAGCTTTTGTTTTCGGTAAAGTGCCCTTCTGGGTTAGCTGTCCTGTTCGAGGTACGAATGCAGTTCTGTTGTTGCTGTTGCCTAGGAGAATCAAGTGGGGATGTCCTTTGCTCATCTGACCTCGATGCCCCTTCTGGGGAGCTCTGTGTTCACATCTGTAGACCCTGCATTGGAGTGATGCGAGGGCTGCTTGGTCATGTGACAGGTTCACCCCCCCCCCCCCCCATCCCTGGTTATATGGCCGGTGTGTAAACACTTGTTGGTGCTTTTTTCTGTGTAAGGCTGCTTTAAAGGACTGAGACGGAGCCCCCAGAATGAGCCTTTTTTTACAGCCTCTTCATATGTTAATTGCTGTTTGCTTTTGCCGTTGCGTGGAAGTTCGCGATGGCGGTCATCTCAGCGGCTGTCTTTTCTGGCTGCTTTGTAATAGTGGGCTTGCAGTGGGGGGTATGGCTTTCTCCCCTCCCCCCGCCCAGATTCCCGGTTATTTATCTCTGAGTGACCTCAGCCTTCAGACTGGATTTGTGTCAAAATCACCGGAGCGATGTGAAGCGCATCGCGCTTTCGGCCCGCCGCCCCCTGCTGGTTCCTTGCCGCCGCCTCCTTATTCCCATTTGTTCTTATTCATAACGTCCTTGTTGCAGACGCTCTCTTTGGTCAAGCGGATCGTCTTTGCAAACTTGCTAGTTTTTGTGCAGTTGGCGGTTTTTCGGCCATTTTTGGTTTGAAGTGCTGTTACATGGGGATGCCCGGGCAATCCCAGGGCTTGAGCCTGCAACCTTTTGGTCAGAGTTGGCCTCTCACTTAACCGCTTAGCCACCATCTGCCTGGCAGGTGCTTTGTGTGTGCATTTTGGGGGGGGGGGGGTAGGGTCTGTTTGAAAGTTTCCCGGTTCCTCAGGGTCTCTGCAGCCGCTGGTTTTGGTTTGTGTGGCGCCACACAGCCGCCGTGGCGGGGGCTGCAGCACAAAGACCCCCTGGAGGGGCATAAGCACCACAATAGAGCAGACCGAGTGAGGAGCAGAGAGTGGGATTCATTTTTAACCCGCGAGATCCCCCCGCAACCCACTGGAAGGCTGCTCCTCAGAGCCGGGGAACCGTGGAGGGAGAGGACCTGGTAAACTGTGCCTCCACCTCCACCTGTACAAAATGCCCCCCCCCCCCATCTTTCCAAAATGAGCATAAGTTGACATCGGTGGCCTGGCCGGTTTGGAGGACGGTAAACCACAAAAGTGTGTGTGTGATTGCTGCCATCGGGAGATCTTCCGGCTTCTGAACATGACTCATTTGTGCTTTCTGGCCCTTATGAGGCTCCATGGCTTCTGTTGAGCTCCCCATGAGGTGCCGCACGCATGTCCTCGGTGATGGTGATGGATGTTTCTGCGTCCTGCTTCCCGCAGGCCAAATGCCCTATCGCTGACGGCCGGCCGGTCTCACTAACGCGCGTCACCCGTTTGAAGAACGTCCTCTCCCGGCTTCTGAAGGGGGATATTAATAGGGATGATGTAAGAGGTGCCGTGAGCTGTCTCCTGCAGGAACAGGAGTTGCGTTTCGCTGGTAATTGGCGTCAGGGGGGTTCGCATGACAGCCGCGGCAGTGCTGAAATGTGGGCGCGGGTTTTGTTTTCCTTCTCCGCACAGCTGGTTGCCTTTCCTAACAAGGGCGGGGGGGAGCTGGCAGATGTGAAGAGGTTCCTTGCTGTGTGCAGCTCTCACTTTGTAGTCAGCTTGAGGCCGTGCGGCTTGAGGTGCCATCTTGTTTGTAAGAGGAGATGCAGCTCCTGGATTAGGCAGCTTCGTGCATGTCGAAATCGGGCCATTCCCTGGCAGCTTCTGCTCAGCCTGGACTCCCCACAGTCTGAATACCTTTGGATTTTTAAACGGAAATCCTCTGTTTTTGAAGCTGCCCTTCCTCCTATCTGCCGTAGTGCTATTTTCTAGCGACACGGCTTATTTTTGTTGATGAGCTCTCCATTACAGCTGTTAAATTAGCTGCGCTGATATGGGGAATGGCCCCAGGGGGGCGTCTAAACAGATTGCCTGCACTGTCATTAGCAGTTTTCGCGGCCTCCTGCAGAAGATGTGGCGGAGTTGGCGCAGCAAGTTCCTTAACCTTCAACCCCTGGTGATGTGCCTGCCTGGATCCCCCGTGATATAGCTGAATATCGCCATCCTGGTCCTCTTAGTAAGCTCCCCACTGACGAGTACAGTCCTGTGCTGCATCAGGGACGTGACCTCTAAGTGTGTGAGGGAGGAGGGGTGCTAGCCGTCGCTCATAGATTGTATGCGTGGGAGCTTTTGCTGGCTCCTTGCAGCCCTCCAGCTGTGGTGCCCCACCGGTGACCAGGAGGCAGTTAAATTAATAACGGGCTGCATTTCAATCTTTCTGCCTGGCTGGCGACGTTCCTCTTTCTGGCCGACAGAGTCTAATGGCCGTGTTTAAGGCGCAGAGTGAAAGCAAGATGGTGGTGATTCTGTCTGCTGCCGAGGACGTAAAGGCAAAATCGACAGTGTTAAGAAACATTCTCCAGAGAGGGTGATGAGACTGCCGTGTGATGCCACTGTCTTGTCCAGTCAGAAGTCTGTGGTGGCTTTTTAATGAAGGACTGGCTTCCCCTGCTCTGAGGTTCGTTAAACGGCTTCAGCACCGGTGTCAACTGTCTTAGACGACAAGTGTCAGAGTTCCCTGTGTGTCCATCGCATCCTGTGTCTGTTATGATGTTGTGTGTTTTCCAGCAGACTTTTATTATCTGGCCTTTTTCTTAAATGGTGTTTCCCCCCTAATTTTGTCTAAGAGTGAGTATTGCTGTATTCTCATGGCACTGCAGGTTATAAAACTACCTTTATGACCCCATTATGATGCAGGTGCAAACTGCTTATAGTCGGTGAACTTGTCGAGTCCAGCGTCATTGTTATTGACAGTCTGCGCAGTGGACAATGCGTTTTCTAAAGATTTGCAGAACACTTCCGCAGCCCTCCGTTTCTAAGCATAATGGTTTATACTAGCATTGGCCTTGTTTGACCTCCTCCCCCCCCCCCCCACCATGGGCATCATCTGTGGTACAACCCGCCAGAATTCCAAGCTTTTTCTGTAGAGGAACACACTATACATGAAGTATACCAGTGTAATACAGCTCTCACAGCTGACAGACTGCAGTCTGACGTTCTCCTAGACCTTAGCTTGACCTCCTCTAACCCTGATATCGTTTTAGTCATCCAGCAAACCACCCGCAGACCAACCCCCCAAAAAAAAAAAAAAAAACACCAAAAACCCACACAATACATGCTTTCTGGGCACGCAGGCTCAAAATGTGTCTTGCTCTATTTCTGGCTAATATGCTGGTAATGTCCTCAGGCTGCTTCAGTCCTGCACTGTTACTTTCTTGGAGATTTGTTGGGGGGGGGGTAAACTAAAAGTCCAAATATGACTCATCAGAAGGTGTCACCTGCCAGTATTCTGAGCACTCGTGAGTCGAAAGTTTCTGTGGTTTAACTGTAAAACATGCTGGCTGCTAACCACCCCCCCCCCCCCCCCAGTTGAATGGTGGTTGGGTTGTATACCCCCTATGTCTCCTTTGGCCATGCTGACCTGCCTCCGCCTTGCTCTCTCCCAACCCCAGCAGGCAAACGAGGCTCTCCACCACCAGCACCAGGTGGCCCAGAGCGGCCTCCTGCCCCTACTCAGTGCAGGAGCCGAGCAGCAAGACCAGAAGCCCGTCCTGCCCATCCCACTGGATCAGAAGCCTCCGGCCAGCGCCGCAGAGCTTCTGAAGGACAACGTGGCCAGTGGGACGGGGGGCGGGGGTGGTGGAGGGGGTGGCGGAGGAGGGGGAGGCGGTGGCGGATCTGGCGGGCCTATGGCTGTGGTGAAGAAGGAGCCAAAGACCAAAACGCCCTTCGTCTGCGGCTACTGCAACAAGGCCTTCCGGGACAGCTACCACCTGCGGAGGCACGAGTCCTGCCACACAGGCGTCAAGATGGTGTCGCGGCCCAAGAAGGCACAGCCTGCCCCCACTATGGTGCCACTCATCTCCAGTGTGCCACGCGAGGGGGCCAACCCCTCCTACATTTCCACCATCGCCGGCATCCTCACCACAGCCACTACGTCGGCCTCTACAGGCTCCAGCGTCATGTCCGCCGCCGCGGCCGCCGCTGCTGCCTCTGGCATGGCTCCCCCACCGCAGCAGCAGCCCAGCGCCCCCAAGAAGCCGGCCAAGCCTGTCAAGAAGAACCACGGCTGCGAGATGTGCGGCAAGGCCTTCCGCGACGTCTACCACCTGAACCGCCACAAGCTGTCTCACTCGGACGAGAAGCCCTTCGAGTGCCCTATCTGCCAGCAGCGCTTCAAGCGGAAGGATCGCATGACTTATCACGTCCGCTCGCACGATGGAGGCGTGCATAAGCCCTATGTGTGCTCAGTCTGTGGGAAGGGCTTCTCCAGGTGCGTGACTCTACTCTGTTGGGTAGGGGTTGGGGGCTTTGACTCTCCTGGTTGGGTTTGGTTGGTTTGCAGGCGTCATATTCCCGCAGCTGGGTTGTTGTTGGGTATTTCACCTCCCCATCGTAGGGTAGGGGTTGCAGGTATTGACTTCCCTTGCTTGAGGTCTACCTGGAGTGTTGAGGTGACATCTCCAGGCATCTTCATTTCGTTTCCCGCTGGTGAATGAAGAGCTTCCCGCATCTTTGCTGACGAGGCCTCCTGTGTCTTTCTGCAGGCCCGACCACCTCAGCTGTCACGTGAAACACGTCCATTCCTCGGAGAGGCCTTTTAAGTGCCAAGTGACGGTAAGGAGCCTCTCCTCTCCCAACTCGCGCCCCCCCCACTGGCCCGATAGGAGGCTGCTTTGAGGATTTAGTGTCGGACTCCCGCTGCCTGCTCTGTGTTTGTCATGAAACCGCTGAAGTATGATGAGCGCACAAGAAACCAGTCTGTCTGTGCTGGTGAGTGCAGACCCATCCAACATGGCTGTTTGGAGAGCATAGCAGAGCTGCTGACTATAGTGTTACTGAGTGCAGACTTCTGTGTGTGAGCTTAGGTGACAGCCATGCACTGCTTAATTGTGACTTGTACACCAAATATCCCCTCTCCCAGAGCATGGCTTCAGCTGGATTAACTGATGGAGTAAATTAAGATGAAGGTTTCTGTTCCTCCACCCCAGGCCTGCACTTCCGCCTTCGCTACCAAAGACAGGCTCCGCTCCCACATGATCCGGCACGAGGGGAAGGTCACCTGCAACATCTGCGGCAAGATGCTCAGCGCCGCCTACATCACCAGCCACCTGAAGACCCACGGCCAGAGCGGCTTCAGCTCCTCTTGTAACAAAGGTGGGTTGACATTTAACCCCGCCCCCTACCTGGCCCCACCCACAATCTACTACCACTGACTTATGGGTCGTGTGGAGGCCCGACGGCAGAGCATGTGAAGATGTCCTCTGTGTCCTGTCTGCCGTGATCTCCAGCTTTGCTTTTGCTTCCTACTAACAGTAAAGACTCCGCCAGGGTCGGCCTCGTCCGCTGACCTTTTTTCAATATCCCTCCATCTCCTCCCATGGCATCTTCGTATGAGCGGGCCGTGGTGACGTATCCCATCTGACTGGCACTTTGCTTGACCCCGGCTTCGGATCCTGCCCTCATCCTGATGTTTGCGAGTACCCCCGGCTCCATACAGCCCCAGTGGCCCATGTAAATGCCCCCCTCCTTACGTCAGAAGGGACCCTTGTCTCTCTGATCCCCCTGTAGTGGACATTATTACATATTGCTTGGAAAGAGAACTGACGAATTTTGAGTCCAAAATAAGTGTCCACCCACTCTGGTGCTGCTCGGAAATGGACCCATTTTGTACCCTGGATTGGCTGCAGGTTATCGAATGCTTCTTGGGTGGGTGGGAGGGGGATCTCGATTGGTCGTGATCTCTCCCGCTCAGGGTTACCCCAGTAAACCTGTGCTGACGACTCCTTGCAGGGGGTCTAACATGGTCTCTGTTGCCTCGGATGCAGCCCCTGGTTTTTAGTGGGAATGGTCACGTTGTCGGCAGGGTTCGGTTCATCCTGTGTTACAGTCTGTGCTCGATGGTGCCCCCTCTACCTCGCCCCGAGAAGGAACACGCCATTCAGTAACGACTTCTTTCCCCCGTCTCTGCGTTTTTGTTCTTGTTTGTTTTTCTTAGACAGTAACGAGGTCTGCAATTCAGCCTCAGCCACTCCCGTAACGGTCTCTGCCCCCATTACCACGGCGATGAACCGTGGCAGCGTCAGCAGCAGCAACCCCGTTACCATGGCGGCGCAGATGAACATTGCCACCAACACGGTCAACATCACCTCGCCGATCAACCTGCAGCATCCGGTCACCATCACGGCGCCGGTCAACATCGCCTCGGTCAACATCCCGGCGACCGCGCCCATGAACATCGCCCACCCAGTAGCCATCACCACGCCGATGCCCATGAACATCGCCACCCCCCTCAACATCGCCATGAGGTCTATGGAGAGCATGCCTTTTCTGTCCCAAGTCCTGCCTTCCTCTCCTCCCTGGTAAACTGGGCCCAGTCTTCTTGTCCTTTGCCCCCCATACCTACACACCCCTCATTGACCCAGCTTGCTTTGCTGGTTCCTCCACCAAGTCCCACTCCTGTCCTACAGTTACACGGTTTACTTAGAGCAGAGAGTCTGCCCCGGCGGTCCGGCGCCGCAGCACAGAAAGCTGTACTTTTTTTCCCATTTGAGTTTATTTAGAAGGACCTCTGACCTAGAAATAGAGAGATAGCAATGATGTAATACATTGAGAATAGGCAGATCTAGCTGGGCATCAGGCTGAGGCTCCTCCCCCCCCCCCCCC